GAGGCCGCACGGCGGCCGCTAGGGGGAGCGCGGCAACGCCGGGTCGGGGGCGGGGAGCCCCGGCCCCCCTCCGCTCGGCGTGGCTGGACTGCACCCGCTGGCGGCTCCGAGGAGAGGGTCGCTCCCTCGCAAAGTGCCCCGGGCCGAAGGCCTCGGGAGCCGGCTGCCGAGCCTGAACTCACAGAGTCTCCTGCCCGCATCTCCCCTTCCCCGGCTCCAAGACGAGGGCAGGGAAGCCCCCAAATTCGTCTCCCTCCTGCCTCGTTGGGGCAACTGATGCTGAAAGAGCCAGAGAGGGTGTCGGGCAGTGGGGGAGACTCCAGCGACCGAGGGGGCAGGGCAGCGCCAGCAACGGAGGGAAATTACCTGAGGGCGGGGAGACGAGCCCCCAGAAATGTGAAACTCCGAAGGCTGGGCTCTAGAGAGTCCTGAAATTGATCCCAGTGACAACTACCTGGGGGCTGTGCCAGAAGCCACGCCCAAAGCTGCCAGAACCCGAGCGAGGGTCGCTCTGAGACTCTTCGGATAAAATTCCCACCCAAAAAGCCTTCGATAAACTTCAGAATGCAACTGCATTCCAGTCTCCTCCACCTTTCCCAGCGGCCCAGCTAGACACTTGACCACCTCTGAAAGAACTGTTTTATTTGCTGTGGAAAGGGTAACTTCCCACCTCATACCTACTTTAAAATGTTGTATGTTTGTGTTATCGGGAAATAATTTTAATCTCTTTACCTGACAAGTAACCAAGTCTCGGCTAAACCCAGGGAACGAATCATAATGATGAAATTTTAGGCATCCCCAGACCAACGCAGGGAGACTCAACTCGCAGTGGTCTGGGGCTAAGAGCAAGGTTTTATAAACATATTAATATTTATTGAAGCACGTGACCACCAAAAAGTTATTTAAGGAAAATTAGTTAACAGGATTCTGTCCACCAAGTGGCTTATTACAATGGAGTTAGAAGGATAGAACGCATATGTGAAATGAAAATGAACGTACAAGCATTAACTGCCAAATTCATTTATTCAATATAGTTCCATTGAGCAGCAAGGGTGGCAAACTTATATGCCTTCAGGGACCAGGTGACTAGTGAATGTAAATCAAGTGAGCAAGGTGAGGACGTTGGCGGATGGAAATGCCTGTTTTGTTTAAAGAGCGCAACTTTGGGAATGTGGGCCTAAAATGGCCAGATCTTCGAATTTTTCAAGAGAAGGTGGAAATGTGCATTTCACATGAAATCTCTTTGATTTTTAAATGTTGGCAACTGTCAGTTTAAAAAAAAACAACACTTCAGATTGATCAAAATGAATGCAGTTCAGATATAGCCGAGAATCTACAAGTTTGCAACCTGTATCCTGCACTATATAAAGTACAACCCTATGTACTTAAATAGAAAGATATTAAAAATGATGACAGCCTTCAGAGTTTACAATCTCATAACGGAAGAAACCTACTTTAAAATAGGTTCTCGGGACTTCCCTGGTGGTGCAGTGGTTAAGAATCTGCCTACCAATGCAGGGGACACCGGTTTGATCCCTGGTCCGGGAAGATCTCACATGCCACGGAGCAACTAAGCCCATGCGCCACAACTACTGAGCCTGCCCTCTATGGTCCGCGAGTCACAAATCCTGAGCCCACGTGCCTACAGCCCGTGCTCTACAACAAGAGAAGCCACCGTAATGAGAAGCCTGCGCACCGCAACGAAGGGTAGCCCCCGCTCACAGCAACTAGAGAAAGCCCGCGCAGCAGCAAAGACCCAGTGCAGCCAAAAAATATAAAATAAATTAAAAATAAATAAATAGGGCTTCCTTGGTGGCGCAGTGGTGGAGAGTCCGCCTGCTGATGCAGGGGACACGGGTTCGTGCCCCGGTCCGGGAAGATCCCACATGCCGCGGAGCGGCTGGGCCCGTGAGCCATGGCCGCTGAGCCTGAGCGTCCGGAGCCTGTTCTCCGCAACGGGAGAGGCCACAACAGTGAGAGGCCCGCGTACCACAAAAAAATAAATAAATTAAATAAATAAATAAATAAGTTCTCATTAGGTATTATAAGTGATCTAGAGATGATTTAAAGTATATGGGAGAATGTGTGTAGGTTATGTGCAAATACTATGCCATTTTATATAAGGGACTTGAGCATGCTTGGATTTTGTTATCTGGGGGTGGGAGGGTATGGGAAGAGCTGTCCTGGACCAATTCCCCGAGGATACCCAGGGACCATTGTAAATAGAATCCAAGCTCTCAAGCTCTTGTCTTCCAGCTGGCTCAGTAGGCGTGAATTCCCTGGGTCATTCCACTATTCCTTAAAGCCAGCTGCTTCTGGTTGTCGGGGTCCACAATGCAGGGCTAGTGAATCTGACAGGACAGCCAGTTTCTTTCTTTATTTCACTGTAAAGTTAGTTCCTTGGTCAGATGTTGTTATGGACTAAATGTTTCTGTTGCTACAAAATTCGTAAGATGAATCTCAAAGATGGGGCCTTTGAGAGTTAATTAGGATTAGGTGAGATCATGAGGGTAGAGCCCGAATGAATGGGATTCGTGCCTTTATAAGATTATGAGAGAGCCTGCTTCCCATCTCTGCTCTCTGGGTGAGGATATAATAAGTCGGCAGTCTGCAACCCGGAAGAGGGCTCTCACTAGAACCCAACACACTGGCATCCTGATCTCAGACTTCCAGCTTGTAAGAAATAAATTTCTGTTGTTTATAAGCCCCACAGGTTACGGTAATTTGTGATAACAGCCTGAACTAAGACATATACCATGATGTATAAGATACCATGATGGTGAATAAGGTATTTGGTAAACCCATTTATGATGAGGATGGTAAAGACGTGGCTGGTAGGAAAGGAAATCCAAATTCAGTATAAACCTCATCCCAATGAGGTTGACTCACTTAACCACCATGACAGAAATAATACATGATAATAATTCCTTCTAAAACGGGCATTCTGCAGTGGCAACAGATTAGCCTTGCTGAGGAGAAGCCTGTGATGAGCTCATGACCCCAATGAGCAGGCACTGGCTTGACTAGGAAAAGGTCTTCACCCACCTGTCCAGTCATCTTGTTCACTAATTTTTTTTTTTTTTTTTTTGCGGTACGTGGGCCTCTCACTGTTGTGGCCTCTCCCGTTGCGGAACACAGGCTCCGGACGCGCAGGTTCAGTGGCCATGGGTCACGGGCCCAGCCGCTCTGCGGCATGTGGGATCCTCCCGGACCGGGGCACGAACCCGTGTCCCCTGCATCGGCAGGCGGACTCTCAACCACTGCGCCACCAGGGAAGCCCCTAAACCATCTTTGATAACCGTTCAAACATTTACAAGAGTAGAAATTATATTTAAATTATATTTAAGGCTCTTCCTCTTCTTTCATTGACAAATGTGCTTATAAAATTTCTTGTGGATTTTTGATCCAATCAGACTTGTTCATAGCTAGTATTTCAAAACAATGATTGAAGCCCTAGTTTACAGAACGCAGACACTATTAGAATAGTCAGTTCACAGTTTAGACATCTTTGTGGCACATCTGCCACAAACAGACAAAATTATCCAACATCAAAGTGTGTGAAGATGGAGTTTCTGAGCTGCCTGCACAGAACCCCCACCACACACACGCACTCATTCACAACTTCCTGCCCACTGGTTGCTCCTTGCATTCCTTGGGCACCTGGGACACAAACTCCTCCAGCATTTCTACGTAGGCAACAATGTGCCCTGCATCTGGCTGCCAGTGGTGGCCTCTTGCTCACTCTCAGACCCCGCCCCCCTCTCTGAAGGTCATCAGAGGATGAGGCTGTAGTGAACAGCGGTGACTGGTCCAGAGGCTCCAGCCACGCTGGGGGCTGGGAGGATGAACATCTCCTCCCGCCCATACCTCATTCACTGTGCACTAGTGTGTGTCATAGCTCCCTGGTTCGGCAGGTCTAGATTAGATCATCTCTGTGGTTCCTCCCAATGTGCTTATGATCCTGCGATGCTTCTTATTTAGGTAGGCTGGATTTGGCTTACTGATGGGAAAATGAGGTGGAAATGTCTAGGAGACAGTTTGAAATGTGGACCGAAGCTCTAGCGAGATTAAAACTAGAGGTATGATTTGGGAGCCAGCCTCATTGAGATGAAAGCGGCAGCCACGTGGATAAGTTAAACTACTATGAGAGGAAGTGCAGAGAGAGAAAAGCACCTCATATAGACCTTGGAGAATCATTTACATTTCAGAGATGAAAGAACAGGAAGAGAAGTCTATTCCATGATGTAGAGAATGATCAGTCAGGGAATTCCCTGGCGGTCCAGTGGTTAGGACTCCACGCTTCCACTGCAGGGGGCACGACTTTGATCCCTGGTGGGGGAACTAAGATCCCACATGCTGCACTGCATGGCCAAAAAAAAAAAAACAGAGAGAGAGAGAATGATTAGTCAGTATCAACACTAGCTTTGGGGGCCTTCCCTGGTGGCACAGTGGGTAAGAGTCCGCCTGCCAATGCAGGGGACACGGGTTTGAGCCCTAGTCCAGGAAGATCCCCCATGCGGCAGAGTA